ATTCCTTATGGGGAATGCACTGTCATTGATTAACTGCTACAATTTTTTTAATGAATAAATCCTATGTTTCTTTGCCAGGATGCATTGTTTGTAGTTCTTATTCTGCTTTGATGAGAGTAAAAGATAGCTTTCTTTTCAAGTGTTTTCTTAATTTCTTTTTTAATTTATAAGAGGTTTGCAATATATTTATTATCCGATGTAGGGACACATGGTTAAGGCTGCTGTTGTATTCCTCCCTTGAGTTCCTAAAGGTGATGTTATCTTTTGTTCACTGAGCAATATGGTCATTTCTAAGAGCATCTGTCACTTGAGGCATCCTAAGATGGATGAGTCTCAAGTGAACTGCTGGTTGAAACAAATGGTGAAAATAAGAAAAGACAAGGGGGCTGGAGGCTTTCAGAAGGGAGAGACAACAAGGAAACACTGTTAGGAGGAGAACACCAAGGTACCCATTGGTAGGGTCACCGATTGTCATAGTTGGACCCTAGATATTTCAAAGAATGTAATAATCAGAGCTGACCATTGAAATCATGGCAACCCCCTCCATTTTAAAAAAGTTGCATTTTGTTATCATTGCGACAGTACTAGGAACAATAATTATGTTTTATGTTGTTTTCTCTCAGTGTGGAGGAAAATACTTGGTAACATTGATAAAACATGCTTTTCAGGGCTGGGCTTTATGTAATTTATCATTTACAAAAGTAGTATAGGCTACTTTGTAGTTCAAAAACTGCATTTTGTATGGTTATATTTCTTCTGAAAAAGATTGTTTTGTTGCATGCTGCTTTGTTTAATTTGAAATTTTGCCTGATTATTCTATTAGCTGTCACTCCTTTATTAAGAAACCAAAACATTTAAATTGTGAGCATTTTAGCATTACTCATTCTCCATTATTTCAGTTTAGAAAATAACTGGTTTTTCAGTTCAGCTGATTGCATTTGACATATGTATCTGAATGGAAGCACGTACTTTTAAAAAGCTGCTGAGGTTGAAGTTTTCTGGTAAGGACAAAATGGCAGAATGTGTCTTTTACTTACGAGAAGCTTCTCTGATTGTGACTAGCCATCTGAACCAGCAGCTTGAAAAATGATTTTGTCAGTTTGCTTGCTTGCTGTGTTCAGCCATGAGGCGGGAATGAAGAGTGGAAAAGCCAAAGAAATTAAGATGATTAGAAGCTTTAAAGCTTTGTGAATGGTAGAGTAGCTCCCTCCTCAATGAATGTAAATAATAGATGAAAGACTGAGAATGACAACAAAGGCTCAGGGTGCTTAAGAGAATGTGTGCAGCCTGAATAGAGGTCTGTGGCTCAGGGCCAAAGGTCTTAGCTTTGAGTGTAATTAGAAGACAATACAAAGATGTCATTACTAGCAGGTGAAATGTTCAGCACGTGGCCCCAAAAATAGTAGTTTCAGCCTTTATGACTGTTGAAATTGGATTATGGACTTTAATTATTGTTTTTTAATGCAAGGTCTCCTTGCAGTTTGTTCAGAAACAATATAGCTTGACTTTGATCATCACTGGTGATTGTTGTAAAACTTGATACTGTGGAAAGTGGTATGAATTAGAGATGAAGCAACCTGCACATCAGAAATTGTTTGGCTTGATCTCCTTAGGATCTCCAGCAATGTAGTGATAGACATGTCTTCTGTTCATCGAGAGGCTAATTAATTTATGTTAAATTTTTCAGTGTTGTGGAAAGTGATCAGAGACTTTGTTCAATGTAATATTGCACAGTTGGAAGTGCATTGCCTGAAATCTAAGTCATACTGCTTGTTACTCATTGTTTATGAGGGCAACAACACCACACACACAGGATAAATTTGGATTAGCAGAATTGCCATTCAAGGTCACGTTTCAGTCCCAGCAGCAACTTCAAAAGACAAAAGCTTCCTATAGAAGGAAATATTTCTGGACACCTTGAACTTTCAGTTTTATAATGCTTGATTTAAACGTTCCCAAATCAGAACAAGTTATGTGAAAGGAAGGTAGAATTACACAACCACTTAGCATTTGGAGATAAAGACTTAGGCAGGATTTAGTGAACCACATGAGAACCAATTATAAGTAGCCATATTAAAACTTGGCTGTCCTCCACTGCTGCAACCATTCTTGTGTTAGATAATCTTCTGTATTGCTGAGACTAACAAAAAATGGTTTCCTCCTGTGGTTAGACCACATATACACTTTTTTTAAAAAAGTAATCTCAGATTACAATGTAATTTATTTTCCCACCCTGCTCCGACTGCCCATATGCCAGGAATTCAGATGGAAATCTTTTTAATTCAACTGTTTTAGGATTGCAGCAAGAGGATGTGAAAGCAGATTTCAAATTGACTTGTACTGTAGTCAGCGTTTGATTTCCTAGTTTAGGCATTTTCTCCCAAGTAAAAGTTCCTCTTCCAAATGCATAATTTGTGTAGACAAAAACTTAAAATTATGCAGTGACATCAGCATGTTGGTTATTTGCAGCTTATTATAAATCACAATATTCTTGAAGTGCTATCCTCTTGATCTTATGTTACCCCATGTATGTTGATGCACAGTTAATGTTGCTTAATTTATCCCTTGAATGTTGTAAACTTAAAATATGTATATAATTTCAACTTTTTCTCTTCACATATTAATAAGGTAAGCTAGTACCATGGAATATTAGTTTTGTCAGTAGTGTGACTTACTTTTATTTAGAGTCAAAGATCTTACTATACTAATTATTATTGCATACTTTTGAAAATATTTTAAAGAAAAATTCTTAACTTGCACTCTGTTATAAGTACAGTGGTACCTCGGGTCACAAACTTAATTCGTTCTGCGACTCTGGTCGCGAC